CTCAAAAAAAAAAAAAAAACCAGTGGTTTTAATCAGCTAGCATGAATGTTCTAATTGAGGTGACAGCAGCTAGTTGTAAAAAGTAAACTCATGTATACTAAATGAGGGAAAAGAGAATTTAAAAGATGTAAAATGTATCATTCTCATGTGTCAGATGTGCTTGATGGAAGATCCCTGTCTTAGCTGATTGCCAATGCCTCACTTACTCATTCAACAAAATAAAAGACACCTATTATAACAATGCCAGAAACTGCAGTCGGTCCTAGGGACACTAAGATTAGTGAAGTACAGTGCTTCCCTCAAAAGAGCACAGGTGGAGGGGAAAGGTGGGAGAAAGAACACAGAAGCCAACAAGAACCTTTAAGTGCTGCAGGTATTAAAATAAGGCACAAAAGTTGGGGAGGTGTGCTGTGAAAAGCTTCAGGGTGAAGATAAATTTGAAATGCCAGGAACTCAAAGAGTGAACTATTCTGGAAGTGATCACTACAATTCAAAATCTCATACTTTCTAATTTTATCATATTAGCTTTTATATGTTAATATTTGATTTTATTAATCATAGAATGTCATAAAAAGAAAAAATTATGGAAGAAAAAATTTTATCCTTCTCCATTAGATTTATTTTAAATGTATTAAAATAAAATCAACTTAGTTGTGATTCAGTGTTTGTTAAATCTAAAGATTATTAGCATCACACTAAGGCAACTGTGAAAATTCCCATCCAGTGATAAAGGAAGCCAGGCAGATGCTTCAAGTTTCCATGTGACACTTTGGGCACCATCAGAGCCCTGCCCTTCAGGTGAAGCCACGGATCCATTTTCCTCTCCTCTCCCTGACCCCCAACTCAGCATGTTGGGAAGGGTTAATATAAGTGGCTTGGGGACAAGAGAGCAACTGCCAAAGGGGAGCCACCCAGCCCAGGGCAATGCATTCTAGAAGTGGGGTTCTGCTCCCCAAGTGATGGGTACTCTCTGAGGTCATTATCACCATGGAGAATTCATGGCTCAAGAAGCAGTAAAGCAAAGGAAGTGAGAGAGGAGATGTCAGTTTAGAGAAAAAGCTCTTCAAAGGCAAAACTAGTTCTCAAGAAGAAATGGTAGGAGTGGTTTAGAAAGCTTGAGTAATGTGTGTTGCGATGCTGGCAGTGAGTAGGGGGTGGAGAGAATAAAAGCTGTTTAATACAGTAATTAAGAGCCCACGCATAAAGTGGAGGACCCAAGTTATAGTCCTAGTTATGCCAGTTAATAACTGAGGGACCATGGACAAATCACAACTTTTCTAAGCCTCAATCATCACATGTGCAAAGAGGTAGTGATACCTACTGCTGAAAGTGTTATGAAGATTACACTAAAAAAATTCACATAAAATACTCAGCATAGTTTATCTGACTCATGATAAGCACTCAACAAATGGTAGACACGAAGGAACCAAAAAACAAAAGTGATAGAATATGTTTTCCTGCCTTATAAAAATAATATAAGCTTTTGGTTGGACACCATGGCTCACGCCTGTAATCCCATCACCTTTGGAGGCCAAAGAGGGAGAATCGCTTGAGACCAGGAGTTAGAGACCAGCCTGGGCAACACAGCGAGACCTCATCTCTATAAAATAAAATAAATAATAAATATAAATTTAAAAACAATATAAATTTTTAATTTTCACTACTCTGTACCCAATTTACCCAACTGGGTAAATAGAATCTCAGAGTAAAACTGCAAGTATTTCTATGAAATGAACTTTGGATTTTCCAGATTACAGATTTTAAGGAATTAAAGGCAGGGATTGTACAATATGGACCAACTTACTATCTTTAAGATAAAAATTAGAACACAGAATACTGTAAAGGAAATTAAAATCACCTGTCGTTTCATTGTTCGGAGTCAGTTACTATTAGTACATTGCTATATATCCTTTCCATCTTTCTTCACATTCCAAGATTTCCACAAATGAATAGTATCTTTTTTTATATCAGCAAAAAAACCAACATTATAAAAAATTATTGAAATTTGCTTAGATACTGGTATTTTAGGAATTTTGGTACAAAACTAGAGTCAAAACAAAGATCTATATTTTTCGTAAGAAAAAGCCCTACAGGCCGGGCACAGTGGGCTCACCCCTGGAATCCCAGCACTCTGGGAGGTAGGCAGATAGCCTGAGCCCAAGAGTTTGAGACTAGCCTGGGCAACATGGTGAAACTGTCTCTACAAAAAATACAAAAATTAGCCAGGCATGGTGGCATTAGCCTGTAGTCCTAGCTACTCAGGAAGCTGGGATGGGAGGATCACTTCAGCCTGGGAGGTCAAGGCTGCAGTGAGTGGTGACTATACCACTGCACTCTAGCCTAGGCAACAGAGTGAGACCTTGTCTCACAGTAAATAAATTAACCAATAAATAGTCCTGGAAACCACAGCTCAAATTAAAACTTCATATCAAAACAAAGAATGGCCTCCATATGGCACAAAAAGGGTCACACATTTTTAAGCATTTTATAATAGGCCGTCATTATATTCTGGAAATTTCGTTTTGAAGAAAGTGGCTTACTGAAAAGGACTGTTCCATTCCGATGGTATTTTTTTTTCTAGGAAGGGAATTATTTCCATTTTTTAATGAGACCTTGGTATAGACTTGTGAACAATTTAACTGCTGTAAGTACTAAAAAAATGTATCACCAACAGGAGTCACAGAAAACATACAAAAAGAGGTAAGAAAAATACCTAAATACCACAGGATGCCTTCCATTCTTGTGTTTCACAAAGATACCTTCAAGACACGCTCCAATGGATATGTCACTTCCTTGGCTATCCTAAAAGGAGAAAGCAAAAGAAGAAACACCCAGGAAGCAGATGCAGAGGAACTGCTGCCAGAGTTCCCCGGACTAGCTTCCCAGATGCAGGAAGTTCAGAAGACCTACAGAGGAACTACGCAGGGAGACAAAAGTCTGAATGAGATCTATGATCTTACAGATATGTATAAAAATGGAAAAAGTTTGGCCCTCTTAGGAACTCTATTTCGAGACCATTTCAAAGTATGAACCGCAAAATGGGAATGCGTTTTACCACAAAATTTTGGTCAACAGGACCTCGGCTTTTAAGTTTCCAGAGTTTTGCACATCCTCAGCCTTTGCACATAAGGACATCTTTGGATTTCCCCACGATTTTCTCAAATTTGTGAGCCTAACTTTAAAGAACCCCAGCCACCGAGCCACACTTACCTTAGCAGGGTAGCTCTCTTCTCCATAGCCATCCATTCTCTCTACCTCCTGCATGTACAGCATTTCAGCATCAGGAGCTGCGAGCCCTCTGCAACCCAAAAGCAGCAAGACTGTTCACAAACAAGCTTAAAATGGTTTAAAATAAAGCTTTTCTTAAAACCTATGTATCAATTTAGCATAGGACATTATAAACATTTCAAGTTTCTAAGCATCTATAATTGGTTATATCAATCTGTTGATATTTACTGAAAACCAGTATGTGTAAAGCACTGTACTGAATGCTGAGAGTATCACATGAGATCCTGCTCTCTATACTTAAGGCAGATGACTGGGAAGGTAGGGGATAAAAAAACTTCCTAAAAAAATCTTCAGGTGAAATCTTGAACTTTTCTTAAATCACCAAGTAATTGCTTATTATCCCAAATATCAGGGCTGGGCACGGTGACTCATGCCTGTAACCCCAGCACCTTGGGAAGCCAAGGAGAAAGGACCACCTGAGGCCAGCAGTTTGAGACCAGCCTGGGCAACATAGTGAGACCTTGTCACTACAAAAAAAAAAAAAAGTTTAAATTAGCCCGGCATGGTGGTGCACATCTATAGTCCCAGCTGCTTGGAAGGTTGAGGCAGGAAGACTGCTTGAACCCAGGAGTTCAAGGATGCAGTGAGCTATGATTGCTCCACTGCACGCCAGTCTGGGCAACAACAAAAAAAAAAAACAAAAAAACAAAAACAAAAACAACAAAATATCAGGCATTACTGAGAATTATGTGCTAAATGTCGAATGCAGGGAATAAGGGTATGAGAAGGCTACATGAAAACCCCTTTTCGCTCAGGTGAGTGGAGTGCAGCACTACTAGGATGGGTAGGAAGGCAGTGTGGGTACAGGAGTGCCCAAGTGCATGCAGACTTGCATCTCCAGCCTCATCTTCCGATGCTCCCCTCTGTGCTCAAGGCACCCACACTGCAGCCATCCCAAACTCTGCATCTCTTCAGATAGAGTATGTTCCCTAGCCCCTCTGGGCTTTTGCACATGAGAATCCCTCTTCTTGGTATGCCTGTGACTCACTTGTGGATCTGGCCAATCCCTAATATCCTTCAAGACTCTGTCTATGTATCATTTCCTCTGGGTCACCTTCTGGGATTCCCCAATGCCCCAATTCTGTGCAGTCCCAATACATTCCACCCGTACCCCTCTAACTGCACTCATTATCTTCTTATATGTATTATCATTACTATAGTGGGTTGTCCTGCCAGCCCTCATATTGCAGGGCTGGGAATGCACGCTTAGAAGACAAGAAATTATTCTATTTATCTTTGTGCCATAGCATCCAGCACTCTTGCTCTGCCTAATACAGAGTAAGAACACTAAGCTATCTTTTAAGGAAATGCACAAATGAATAAATGGAAGTGACAAAAGGCAGGGCAATGTGTGCCTGAGGGATCAATTAAGCTAGAAAAGAAATGGTTCATGTGGACAGCAGAAGGTAAAGCTGGGAAGGCAGGATTTAACCAATTTATGGGAGGCCTTTAATCCCAGAGTAATGAACTCAGGCTAGCAGGAAGCACGAAAATACCCACAAGCACGTGGAAGGAGAAGGAGAGGGGTAAGAGGAAAGTGATATGCTAGGGAGATTAATCTTTTGTGAGCCACTATGTGGATTTGAGTGGAGAGAGACTAGAGGCAAAAGGTTATTTTATTTGGAAGGTGATAAGCAATAGGTTCTAACGAAACTGACCTGCTTTCAATTCCCACCTTTACCACATGTAGAGGTAACTAAATCTTTTTTTTTTTTTTTTTTTTTTTTTGCTCTGTCACCAGGCTGGAGTGCAGTGGCACAATCTCAGCTCACTGCAATCTCTGCCTCCCGGGTTCAAGCAAATCTCCTGCCTCAGCCTTCTGAGTAGCTGAGACTACTGGTGTATGCCACAACATCTGGCTAATTTTTTGTATTTTAGTGGAGACAGGGTTTCATCATGTTTGCCAGGATGGTCTCGATCTCCTGACTTCGTGATCTGCCCCCCTCAGCCTCCCAAAGTGCTGGGATTATAGGCATGAGCCACCGCTCCCGGCCAGAGATAACTAAATCTTTTTGAGTTTGGTTTCCCCATGTGTAAGATGGAGATAATAATGTTTATCTTAATGAGTAGTTATAAGAATTTAATGATAGAGTACAGATAGTCCTCAACTTATGATGGTTCAACTGAATGACTTTTCAACTTTACAATGGTACAAAGGTGATACTAATTCAGTAGGAACTGTACTTCGAGGACCCGTACAACTATTCTGTTTTTCACTTTCAGTACTGTATTCAACAAATTATATGAGATATTCAACATTATAAAATATATTACAGGCTTTGTGTTAGATGATTTTGCCCAACCGTATGCTGATGTAAGTGTTCTGAGAACAGGTAGGGTAGGCTAGGCTAAGCTATGATGTTCAGCAGGATTGGTCTATTAAATACATCTTGACTTACAGTATTTTCAACTTACTATGGGTTTATCAGGACTTAACCCCATCCTAAGTCAAGGAACATCTGTATGTGGAACTGTGTGGTAGTTGGTTTAGAATGAAACCTAGCATTCTCTAGAAGAGTATTTTTTCTTACAGGCAACACAGAGATTCACCATGAAAGAATGTCAGTATGTACAAGTATACAAAGGTATGCAGAAGCATAGTTCAGAGTACTAAGCACCATAGTTCTTAGCGTAGTTCCCCAGATGACAGACACAGCTTCCATAGGTATACAGAGGGAAGTAACCCTGGACTTGCTAAGCTGTATCATAAAAGAAAACAAATCATCCTAATTTTACATTAACCTATACAGGATGGTTATCAAATAAACCTTTACTATACACAATAAAAAATGGGCACCCTTCAATGACTGGCTGCTTTCAACTTCCTCAGTGTCCTCACTGGTAAAAAAGGACAATAAATGAGTAATATGGGTAAGTGCTTACTTAGAACAGCTCATGGCACATAGTGAGTACTATGTAAATGTTGGCTACTTGTAATAGCAGCGGCAGTAATGTTCCAAATATAGTTGGGCAAATACATATTAATCATATAAATTAAATATTTAATTGAATATTTCAAATTCAAGCAGACATTGGTTCTATGCTATTTCTATGTCTTATTTCTTAGAGTTACCTACCTGTATTTCTGATGTAGTAAGGCCACTTTTTGGGTTGCTTCTTCCAATACTTTTTCATCTTGTAACCATCCCTGAAGAAAACACACAGTGGTAAGTATGTGAAAATTCACCCAAATTTCTTAGAAGGAATCATGGCCATTGATTGTTAATGACTCTGGCAAAATTATGACTATTGTTAATATATGAGAGCTTTGCTTACATAGGTAATCACCTTTCTAAGGAATTAAGTGGCTTCTTCACAGGAGCCAAAAAACAAAAACAAAACAAAAAAAAATTGCCCCACCTTCTCAATTCATCCCTGGGAAAGTTTCAGCTGAGTTATTTCAAGTTGGTGACAGTAGTCAGCCAGTCCTGAGCCCAGCAAGATAAAAACATCTTGTGTGTTCTCTAGCTGGCTGTGCAGACACTCAGAAGAGCATGCCACACCTTCCTTAGTTGTTGCAATGCAGTTTCCATGTCCCTTCCATCAGTAATGACTTTATAGAAGTAGAAGGCAGTGTCTTTGTCATCTACTTTTTAAATTGCTGATGAGAAGTGACATTCATTCCTCAATATAATTTTGTAAGGTTTCAAACCTTCAGTTAAAAGCAAAACCTGCACCTTCCTGAGAAGCTGAAAATGAATCCTTCTTTTTAAACTCACATTCAAATAGAAAACAAATATCTCCAGGCACAGTGCAGTCACTATAGACCCTTCAGTTTCTGTGGGTTCACAAGGACCAAGATGACTACAACGGAGGAAGCAGTCACACTTGAGATGTTTTTAAGAGGGAATTTTTTTTTATAATCCTATTCCTGACAGTAAGTCTATCATACGGATTTCATTTCAGGGATTATTAAGGGTATAGGAATGAACTGTTTGTTTTAAAAAGCCCAGTGTCAAAAGAAGTCTTACCACAGGAAACAAGGCAAATTTCTGAAGAAAGTCCTGCGATTCATACTGATCAAAGTCACCAAAATCAGCTATATAGAATGACAAAAACTCACACGTTAATTATATTTAAATTTCATTGCAAAATATGTGCAACAAAATTCAACATGCAGTATATATAGATGGTATGCTAATATTTCAGAAGTCAAGTTTTTTGTAACTATAAAAAGCGTATTTTAAAAGTATCTTTTTAAAAATGTTAATTAGGTAGACATGAGTCTTGGCTTGGAAAAATGCCTATGAATTAAATAAAAAACAAGTTGCAAGCTATATGTAATATGATCTCATTTTTATAGTTAAAATGCAAACAAAACCTACCCTGTAATCATATATGCTTGCTTATGTACAGAAAAATGTCAAGGAGAAACCAAATTGTCAACAGTAGTGATGAAATGGACTTAGACCACTTGAATATATTACAGCAAGATATATTTGTTTTGAAATTTTTAATTTTTTAAAAAAATTGACAATTCAGCAAAATGTTTATGAAAAAGTAATTCTTAAAGCCAAAAAGGATACTTAAGAAAATCCAAAGTACCTTGAAAAGGAATGTGGCTCTATGTGCATCAGGCATTTGTTTAAAAATGATGCATGTCTCCATGCCTGCTAATAGCTGAAGGAGTTTTATTAATAATTATTCTGATTAAATTTCACTCCCAAGGCGAAATGCCAGTAATTGTTTGAAATAATGCCCTGTCAGAAACCTTCCCGGCCAGGCACAGTGGCTCACACCTATAATCCCAGCACTTCAGTAAGCCAAGGAGGGAGGATAGCTTGAGCCCAAGAGATAGCAAGACCCTATCTCTACAGAAAAGTTTAAAAATTAGCCAGGCATGGTAGCGCACACCTGTAGTCACAGCTACTTGGGAGGCTCAGGTGGGAGGTTCACTTGAGCCCAGTAGGTTCTGGCTGCAGTGCGCCACGATCACATCACTGCACTCAAGCCTGGGCAACAGAGTAAGACTGTCTCCAGAAAAAAGAAAATACACACATACATGTAAATACATGTATATTAGACATATAAAAATAAAAAAAAATTCAAAAATGCTGGTGAAATGCAGAATCTTTATTTATATATGTACATTTTAAAGATAAGGTCTTGCTATGTTGCCCAGGCTGGTCTCGAACTCCTGGACTCAAGCAATCTTCCCACGTTGGCCTCCCAAAGTGCTGGGATTAGAGGCATGAGACACCACACCCAGCCATCTTTATCTATTATGA